CTGCAGCAGCCACCCAAACCCTAAACCCTAAACCCTAAAACGTAAACCCTCGGAACCAGTAACTTCGAGGTGAACACCAGCCAAAAGTTTCTGCCCCTGAACAAAAGCTGTAGGGCCCAGAGGGCCTCAGCGCTCCAACCAAAGAATGCCTAGGGTTTAGGGTTTGGGGTTTAGGGTTTAGGGTTTAGTTACTTAGGCTAATGAGGGCGCTGCGGATATAATACCAAAGATGAGTTGCTGCAGGGTTTAGCTCGAGGGCCACCAAATAGTGCTGCAGGGCTTCTTCCATTTGCCCTGCGCCGCAAACCCTAAACCCTAAACCCTAAACCCTGAGCCGTCAGTCCCGAGCCCTCAACCGCTCTGCGGCAAGCCAGCTCTGAGACTTCCGGCGGTTTAGGGTTTGAGCTAGGGTTTAGGGTTTAGGTCTCGCGAGCTCACAACTAGGATTGAGGGTTTGCGCACTGTGATCATTAGGGTTTAGGGTTTAGGGTTTGAGGCGCTTTTTAGCTCCCCCACACACCCAGCTGCTGCCCCGCGCCCCCAGGCCGGAAAGCAAGGGTTTAGGGTTTAGGGTTTAGGGTTTGGGCTGGGGCCTGGCGAGAACTGCGGAGAGCCAGAAAACCCTAAACCCTAAACCCTAGCCCGTGAGGACCTGGGCGAGCGCGCGGCGTGGGCCCTGGGGCTCAGCGCCTAGGGTTTAGCGTTTAGGGTTTAGGGTTTAGGGTTTACCGAGGTTGGCCTTGGCCACCCCCAAGTTGGTCCAAGCCCTCGGGTAGTTTGGCTTCAACTTGAGGGTTTGGGAATAAGCCACAAGAGCAGCAGCAGATCTTCCCGAGTTTGCCAAAGTGGCTCCAATTTTATTCCACAAAGATGCTACTGCTTCTTCTTTCCTGCAAACCCTAAACCCTAAACCCTAAACCCTTGGCTGTCCGCGGCACCTGCTGCGCGCGCCCCAAGCCCCGCGCTCTGCAAACCCCAAATCCCCCACCCCGCGAGGAAACCTAAACCCTAAACCCTAAACCCCGAACCCTAAACCCTAAACTCTAAACCCTAAACCCTCACGCGTGTTTCAGGGCTTCAGCCAGGTGCAGCAGGGCCTCGTCGTAGTGCCTGTCAATGTTGTACAAAACCCCCAAAGCAGAGTGCAGTTCTGCTGCTGCTGCTGCTGCTGCTGCTTCTGGCTGCTGCAGTGCTGCTTCGAAGAGAGACACCAGCTCTGCCTTCAGCAAGTGAAAGTCCTCCGGCGGCCGCTCCTGAGCCGCAAACCCTAAACCCTAAACCCTAAACCCTAAACCCTAAACCCTAAACCCTAGACTCCAAACCCTTCACAGAACGTGCAAACCCTGGGGCTTAGGGTTTGCGCAGCAGGTTAAGCGCCAGCGGCGGCGCAGCGCTGTGGGGCCTGCGGCTGCTACCGCGAGGGGTTAGGGTTTAGGGTTTAGGGTTTAGGGTTTACGGAGAGGCCCGGCAGGTTCTGGAAGTCGTCGTGGTTTGTCAACCAAGTCCGCAGATAAAGAAGGGCTTGAGATACATCCAGCTCGTTGGTGAGAGAAACCCCAAGAGCCATGAGACTGCAAAACCCTAAACCCTAAACCCTAAACCCTAAACCCTAAACCCTGGGCTTTGGTGGCTAGAAGGCAAGTTCGAAGGCCTACAGCGAAGTTGGCTCTTGCTGTCACGCTAAAAGGTGCCAGAGAAACGACAAAAATTAGGGTTTAGGGTTTAGAGAAAAGGGCTAGGGTTTAGGGTTTAGAGAGCTAGGGTTTAGGGTTTAGAGAGTAAAGCGAGGGTTTAGAAATGCTAGGGTCTAGAGCCCACCTGTCGAGGTTGTAAGGGTCAACGCTGTGGCCTTTCTTCAAGCAGTGAATCGCCTCCACATCCTGAAGAGCCCCAAACCCTAAACCCTAAACCCTAAACCCTTAACCCTCAACCCTAGGTTTGTTAGCGCTAGCGCTCCGGCCTGCTGCTGCCCCGCAACCTCCTGCGTTCGGCGGCGCCCGCGCTGCGCCGCGCGCCTAGGGGTTAGGGTTTCGCGAGGGTTTAGGGTTTCGCGAGGGTTTAGGGTTTAGGGTTTAGGGTTTAGGGTTTGACCTGCTCCCTGTCCGCGTGGCACTGGCCAAGCAGCCGCCAACCCTCGCTGCTGCTAGGGTTTTTCTGAACTTCTGCTTCCAAAACCCAAACCGCCTGCTGCAGCTTTCCTTCTTTTATTAATTTGTTTGCTGCTTCCAAACCCTCGCCAGACCCTAAATAAGGGTTTTCTCTGCTGAAACCCAACAACGCCTCCTCGCCCTCTGCGCACGCACAAACCCTAAACCCTAAACCCTAAACCCTCACCCCTAAACCCTGAGCCCTAATCCCTAAACCCTAAACACTTAATTCTAAACCCTAAACCCTAAACCCTAAACCCTAGACCCTAAACCCTTGAGCGGCTCCTGGCAGCTCTAAAGCCGCAACCCTATGGAAGCCCACCCATGTCGGTAAACCCTAAACCCTAGCTCGTCAAAACCCTAAGCCCTAAACGTGGTTTTCTGAGCCAGAGCCCTAAACCCTAAACTCTAGACCCTTAACCCGAAACCGTAAACCCTAAACCCTAAACCCTAAACCCTAGGACTCGCTAAGTCTCACCGGTAGCATCTCCCATGGAAACATCGAACATTTCCTCTGGAAACACGCACAAACCTAAACCCTAAACCCTAAACCCTAAACCGTAGACCCTGAACCCTGGACCCTGAGCTCTAGGCACTCCCTGAACGCCTGAAGCCGCATACGAAGCCCGCCAAAGCTTAGGTTAAGGGTTTAGGGTTTAGGGTCTAGGGTTTACCAATCCTTTCCTTGGGGTCTTGCTCGAGAATTCTTTCCATGTCTTCAGACTTGAAAATGGACTGAAACAGCCCCAGCTCTTCAGCGTCAATTTCACCCTAAGCCCAAAACTCTAAACCCTAAACCCTAAACCCTAAACCCTCAACCCTAAACCCTTAGTCTGGCTTTCTAATTCCCCGCGCCCCAGCAATGTAGGGCCTTCCACTTTTTGAGGGTTTGGGGTTTAGCACGGGAGGGACTGCAGCTTCGAGTCAGAAGGGCTTAGGGTTTAGGGTTTAGGGTTTAGGGTTTAGGGTTTAGGGTTTACGTTGGCGTGGGCTCTTTTCCATGTCTCTTCCAATTCGCGCAGCGAGGCTTCGAAATCACTGGGGGCCTCCTGGGGGTCTTTAGCAGCAGCAGCAGCAGCAGCAAAACCCTCAGCAGCAAAACCCTCATCAGGGTTTTGCTGCTGCACTTCCTTGGCTGCCAACACCGTGTCCCAGTCCACAGGCTCCCCCTCCGCAGACAACAGCTGCGCCGCAAACCCTAAACCCTAAACCCTAAACCCTAAACCCTAATCAGGACACACTGCATGCACCTAGTCCAACACCTAGAGCTGCTGCCGCTGTGCCGAGGCCGCAGCCTTCAGCTTGAAGCCTCCCCGCTCCGACCTAAGGGTTTAGGGTTTAGGGTTTAGGGTTTAGGGTTTAGGGTTTGCCTGTCCGTTCTCCAGCCTGAGGCCCCCCTCCGCAAGGGCCTCCACGAACTTCGTGAATTCCGCATTCATTATTTTGGGGCCCCCCACGGCTTTGAGGCCCCTCACCAGGTCGCGGGCCACGGCCTAAGCAGCAGCAGCAGCAGCAGCAGCAGGTGCAGCAGCAGGGGCGGGTGCAGCAGCAGGAGAAGGTGCAGCAGCAGGAAAGGGGCAGCAGGAGGAGACGCGGCGGTAGTGGCAGCCGTGCTGGTTGGTGCAGCAGCAGCAGCAACTCGAGCGGCAGCAGGGGCCACAGTAGCAGCAGCAGCAGCAGCAGCAGCAGCACCAGCAGTGGTGGTTGCTGCAGCAGCAGCAGCAGAAAGAATAGCTACGTTAGGAACAGCAGCTGTAAAGGTGTCAGCAGCAGTGCTGCAACACCATGCGCAGCAGCAGCAGCAACAGCAGCAGTAGTGGTAGCATCCGCAGCGCAGCAAGACCAGTAGGTGCAGCAGCAGCAGCAGCAGTAGCAGTAAAAGCAGCAGCAAGAGCAGCAGCAGTGATTCGAATCAAGGGGGGAAGAAGCAGGGCAAACAGCAGCAGGGCATGGCAAAAGCACAACCAGCAGCAGCAACAGCAGCAACAGCAGCAGCAGCAGCAGCAGCAGCAGAAG